GGGACCACAGGCACCCGCCACAATGCCTGGTTATTAATTATTATTATTATTTTTCGGTTGCAGCCATCGTTGTTGTTTGGCAGCCGGGCTGGATTTGAACCCGCCAGCTCTGGTGTATGTGGCTGGCACCTTAGCCACTTGAGCCACAGGTGCTCCACCATGCAGTTAGATTTTTGATAGGTTGTGAATGTTATAAGAGGTCTGTGGGACAAACTCATTCTCACTGTGGCCTAAGCCTTGCCAAGATGCTTTATTTAGTTTGCAAAACAGTGATACAGTGATTGAAGCCTCTAGCTTAGATATGACTTAGGCTGAAGGAACTGTATTACAGCAGTTTGAATTTAGGCTCTGTGGTTAAGTGGCTTGTCACTTGTGTGATAACTTTTTTCCCAATTTTTCTTACTAATAAGGCTTAATTTTCTTGTGTACTTCAATGTTCTCTCCCACCATGTAGATCAGGGGTTCTCAATCTGTGGGTTGCAACCCCTTTTAAACAATGAGAATACATTGTGGCATTAGGAAGATTGAGAACCACTGATGTAGATAGAAGAGGTCAAGGGACTAAGCTTGAGTTAATGGTTTGCAGCTGAAAGTGGTAGAGTTGTGCTTTTCTCAGATATCTTTAAAAGGGGAGGCTGAAACAGTTGGGAGACACTTACTCTTTCCCTTCTTCCTTCTTCCTCTTAACTAGTACATGGACTTTGGACCTAGAGGTGCTGTCTTGTGCCAATGTGGCAACCTTGAGTGTGGAAGCCAAATGCTGAGACAGTAGAGAAAGAAGACAGAGTAAGCTGGGGCATAAAGGCATCCTTGAGCTGCCAGACTATCCCTTGGACTGCCACTTCCATTCATTTTACATGACAGGAAAATAACCTCTTATTTTGTTTTACCCAATACTACTTTTGATCTCTGTTGTCAGCAGAAAAACACCTTTCCTGCCTCCCTATCCCCAACAATTTATCATGAGACTTTTCAAACATTAGCAAAGGTGAAAGAATTTTCAGTGCATACCAATGTATATACCACCTAGATTGTTTATTACTTTATTTTAATCCATCCCTCTGTTCATCCCTGTACATCCATCAGTCTTCCTTTGTTTGTGTTTTTATTTTAATTCAAAATCTATTAGGAGTTTTGCTGCTTGAAATTATATCTGTAATATTACTGGGTAAGAAACAGACTCACTGTATGACTTGCATAAAAACCAAAAACTATGGCATCAACTTTTGAGAAGAGAATGGATTTATTGCAAGTCAACCAGTAATAATCAGATCTGTCTTCCTGAGCCAGTATCTGGCCGGGTTTTGTAGTAAGAAAGATTGGATCTTGCAATAATATGATGCTGGGAGGCATGATGGGACTGGATGGATAATGCAATGAGGTGTTGGCTTCTGAATTTGGTCAACATTCCTTGGCCCAAGAAGTTGGGTTCCACTCGTGGGTGCAGTTGTGGTTCATGTGGGCATTCTCAGGGTACATGACCTTCAACCGGGGGTCCATGGCAACTGAAAAACAACTCATTAGTTTATTACTAGGGTGACCAGATTTTAACATCTGTAAGGCCGGACAACATGGCTCGGGGGCAGAGCGGGGGTGGAGCAGGCAGGGCCTGACAACAATGCAAACTTTGATAAGCAGTTCTTGATAATCACTTCTCAGCAATTATTTATTACAGTTTAACATTATAAAATTAACAAAAATAATATAAAACTCATATTCTGGTGAAATAGCCATACGGCGGCCGAAAACCGTATATTCCCTTCTTGTTCTCCAGCCCGTTCGTGCATTCTTTCCAAAAATCAAGACTTTTTTAAAACACCACGGGACACAGGACAAATTATTGAAAAGTGGGACTGGCCCGCCAAAATCGGGACATCTGGTCACCCTATTTATTACACAAAGTTGAATCAGATGAGGCTGGCTCTGAATTTGTAGTAAGCATAAAATATCCATTTCTTATCTGCAGGACTCAAGTTTCTTTGACACAGATAAGCAGCCAAGGTGCTGAACTTTAAAAGTTGTTTCTGGGTCAGGCTCAATGGTTCATGCATGTAATCCTAGCATTTTGGGAGTCCAAGGAGGGAACATTTGAGGCTAGCTCAATACTCAGCTTGTGCAATACAATGAGACTCTTTCTTCCTAGGAAACAAACAAAAGAAAGCTTTTTTTAAAAAAAAGAAAAGGTGTTAGCTGTGGTGGTAAGCACCTATAGTCCTAGCTACTCAAGAAACTGAGGCAGGAGGACCACTTGAGCCCAGGAGTTTGAGGTGTGTTATGATAATACCACTGCACCACACCCTAGACAATAGAGTGAGACTTTGTCTCAAAAGAAAAAATATAATAAATGATGTTTCTGGATCCAACACTTCATATCTCTAACCTTGGTAGTACGTAAAAAGACAGAGCTCTAAGCCCACTTCTCATCCAGTCCTTTCCATAAAATCCTGAGGAAAAAAAATCTTAGGACAAATGGTACCATCTAGTATATCTTAGTTCATAATTACCAAGGAGAGATTACAGTATGGAATATTCCTGGGTCTCAAGTTTTTGAATTGGCAGGATGGGAGTGTTTTAAAGAGAACAATATCAAAGAAACTCATATTCCAAAAAGGCTTATGGGGTTGAAGGCCCTTCTTGGCTTGAAGCTTCAATGGGTACTGCATGAGACAGTGGGGAGGAAACCTGGTTTTTATCTCAATGTGAATGGAGTCTATATATGCCCTTCCAAATCATCTGGTAGCCTTACACCTCAAGGTTGAATTGATTGAGAACTTAGGTGGACAGAGCTTGAGAGACAGTGAACTGAAAGTGAGCAGATCTGCTTGCAAACCCATTAGGGTATTCTGGTGGAACTGGGACATGTACTTGCTTATTCTCAAAGGTCACTGCGATTTAGAGAAACTTCAATCCAGCAATAGGAGATGGGCACTCAGTAATGTAAAGAAATCAGTGTGTGAGGAAAGAATTTCTGATAGCACAATCTAATGACTGGAGAAAAAATTGGGGAGAGAGTTTTCTGGACACTCAGATCATCAGCATTGAGTCTTTAGTAAGCTTGGTCAACTGAAAATTTAATACTAAGTTGTACCAACATTGATCAGGAAATTAATTACATTTTCTCCCACCATTGTTATCCTGGATTCTTACTAGAAGTTAGTCACAGGCTGTTATTCCCGGTGCCTATAATCCCTGCTACTTGAGAGAATGAGGCAGGAGGATCACCTGAACCCAGGAATTTGAGGTTACTGTGAGCTAGACTGACACCACAGCACTCTGACCTGGGGCAACAGAGTGAAATGCTATCTCAAATTAAAAAACAGCCTGTTACTTTATTTCATGTAATTTTTTTTCTTTTACTTCTGTTGTTTTTTCACTCTGTTCACTGTTTATTAAAACCTTATAAGTCACTTTAAGTAAATGAGACATGGGCAGAGTTAGAGCACCGTCCAGCTTTTGTAATTATTGTTGGGTATCAGGCATACTTTGATCAATGAAGGTTGTATTATTAATAATTAACCTTGAATGTTCAGAGTTCTCTAGATCTGTATACTTCCCACATGTTTCTAGAATTCTAAGAAGGCTGAGGGATTTTTATGTGTCTCCTGTTCTATTTCCTTGTTCAGGCTTTTAGTTGTGTGAACCCTCTCGTTAAGTCTGATTACAACACACTCTCAGAAGTGCTGAATCTTACCTTTGTCCTTGCCATTTGGATTCCAGTCAGGATTATGAACTGGGATGCCTGAATGAACTCCAGTCCTCACCCTGTTATTTGGATCTTCTGCATGCATGCAATCAGT